GTACACTGTAGTTACCAAACTTGCTAGAGCCTTCTTAATGGAAACATTGTGTCAGCAGCCTTTTAAAGAAACATTTTCTGGATTAATGATATATCTCTAAAGAAATTGCTCAAATTAAAGAAATGAATTGCTAAATGTCCTTTATTAACAGGGAAAAAGGAATATTGTCATAGATTGCCTGAGATAGTGAGATTATTTACACCAAGATTTATTTCATAGGACCTTAATTATTTGTGCTGGTCTCTCAGAGACTTTTTACTGTTTCTGGTGAAAAGTAGTGATGCTTATCAGCTATTGAAAAAAACGCTGTAGTGGTTCAATGAGTTAGAGGAATAATCAGTCAAATTTTTTTCCAGTTGTAGTCAGGATATAAACAAGAGTAGCAGGCACAAGGACCTAAATTTGTGTGGCTTTTATCTAACATTATTAAACCTAAATGTTGAGTAGGCAGCAAATATTCCACTGAAAGTGGCAAAATTGCCGGCTGCTGGCTCATTTTGAAAGGTCTGCAATTCACCAGCTATGTGCATGACTGTATTAAGTATCTTTTACTTTTTGCCCTTGTAACTTGTAGCTGCTTTCTTCCATTATGATTGCCATGTTTTGCTTTAATTAAACTCAACTATTGAGTCCATGGAAGACAAAATGTCATATTTCTTTTTATTCCTTGTCATCAATAATATTTCTATGTTATTTGTACATTATTTATTTTAGATTGTCCTCTCCACATACAAAAACTCAATAGTATTACAGACCCATTTCTTAAACTTTAATATTATTACTAATTAATAAAATTAATAATCAGTCATCTGTATTAGCATGCCCCTCCTTCATGATTTTTTTTTCTTTTTTTTTTTCTTTTAGATACTAGTGAGGGAAATGTTCTTTATTTATTCTCATATATTGATTTTGAAGCAGTGTTTAGTACATTAAGAAGAAAGTATATGCCGTTCACACTTTTTTGGAAAGGATGTGTGTTTTCAAGTCGGACAAACCAAAAATGTTGTTTGGGCATAGAACGCCTTGACTTTTAGTACTATGAATTCTTCAGGTTCAAGATGAAAGCCATTGGCATTATTTTGATCTGCATGTGTGCTGTTATATTGTCTGACCACAGGAAGGATTTTAATCAGATATTGTCCGATGGCTCGCTGTTATTTGCCGCTCTAGATTAATATCTTGATGCTGAGTTCTTTATTTACACAGGTCTGTTGATCAGTAGAGGAGTTCTTGGGTTTTCACCATCTCCATCACCTTCTGGTGTGAATTGACTGATCCCTGCAAACTGAAAATTCAATAATAAAAGATCAGTATTATCAGTAAGACTACAGTCAACCTGTTTCTCTATTTAGATGGACGCCACTAGGATCAATACTGTCTGTCTTAGTGAGGAGACTGATCAATTCTAGAGAATCAAAGGAACCACCTTTTTCAGCTTAATTCCAGAGAATCAAAGAAAATAGCTTCTGAACCAACTTTAGGGATTGTCCACATTCACATACAAATTCTCCAGACTGATTTTTCATACATTTCCTTAAGAATTAGTTAAGAGAGTTAAATAAAAGATCAAAGCAGTTTCTCTTTTGGCAATCATTTTATTAATTTCCCATAACCATTTCTTTTGACAATGTATGGATATTGTTGGGAGAAAATTGATGTTGGCCACTATTGGGACTTGAAGGGTTATAAAGTGGCCACTGCATGTGAGTTTAGACAGTGTTAGGAAATTTAGTATATGTAACTCTCAATCATGCTGTAGTACAACTCACCCTTCTACTTCTCTAGCCCTGCCCTCCCCTGTTAACCCATTAAGCCCCAATATCCACATAGAAATTCTCGAAACTGATCTCTATACATTTCCATAAAGAATAAGTTGAGAGAATTTGGTAGAAGATCAAAGCATTTTCTTTTAGGTGATTATTTCATAAATCCTCACAATTTTTTCTCTTGATAGAGTGGTTTTCGTTTGAGTGTCGTAAAACCAAAACCAAAGTAATTACTCTGGCCAATCACATAGGACACAGACAATACATTGAACCAATCAAAACTCGAAGTAATTACATGTGGCTGACGCAATTGCATGACTGTATTAAGTATCTTTTACTTTTTGCCCTTGTAACTTGTAGCTGCTTTCTTCCATTATGATTGCCATGTTTTGCTTTAATTAAACTCAACTATTGAGTCCATGGAAGACAAAATGTCATATTTTTTTTTATTCCGTGTCATCAATAATATTTCTATGTTATTTGTACATTATTTATTTTAGATTGTCCTCTCTACATACAAAAACTCAATAGTATTACAGACCCATTTCTTAAACTTTAATATTATTAATAATTAATAAAATTAATAATCAGTCATCTGTATTAGCATGCCCCTCCTTCATGATTTTTTTTCTTTTTTTTTTCTTTTAGATACTAGTGAGGGAAATGTTCTTTATTTATTCTCATATATTGATTTTGAAGCAGTGTTTAATACGTTAAGAAGAAAGTATATGCCGTTCACACTTTTTTGGAAAGGATGTGTGTTTTCAAGTCGGACAAACCAAAAATGTTGTTTGGGCATACAACGCCTTGACTTTTAGTACTATGAATTCTTCAGGTTCAAAGTGAAAGCCATTGGCATTATTTTGATCTGTGTGTGTTATATTGTCTGACCACAGGAAGGATTTTAGTCAGATATTGTCCAATGGCTCGCTGTTATTTGCCGCTCTAGATTAATATCTTAATGCTGAGTTCTTTATTTACACAGGTCTGTTGACCAGTAGAGGAGTTCTTGGGTTTTCACCATCTCCATCACCTTCTGGTGTGAATTGGCTGATCCCTGTAAACTGAAAATTCAATAATAAAAGATCAGTATTATCAGTAAGACTACAGTCAACCTGTTTCTCTATTTAGATGGACACCACTAGGATCAATACTTAGTGTCTGTCTTAGTGAGGTGACTGATTAATTCTAGAGAATCAAAGGAACCACCTTTTTCTGCTTAATTCCAGAGAATCAAAGAAAATAGCTTCTGAACCACATTCACATACAAATTCTCCAGATTGATTTTCATACATTTCCTTAAGAATTAGTTAAGAGAGTTAAATAAAAGATCAAAGCAGTTTCTCTTTTGGCGATCATTTTATTAATTTCCCATAACCATTTCTTTTGACAATGTATGGATATTGTTGGGAGAAAATTGATGTTGGCCACTATTGGGACTTAGAGGGTTATAAAGTGGCCACTGCATGGGAGTTTAGACAGTGTTAGGAAATTTAGTATA